TAATGTGACGGTCAATCCCACTATTCGTTGGTGAAAAGAGTAGCCAAAGAGTTGGCGGCGGGTGGTGATGACTAGCTGCCTTCCCTCTAGTCTTACACTGCTAAATTAGGGAAGGCTAGCGCAGATAGCCCTCGTGTAGCTTTGGACCTTTCGATATGCAGCCCGTCACTCTAACCACTAGGCCACGTCTGGTCTCATCAACAGTTGAATTATATTAAATATTTCAAATGTAAGAAGACATGTTTCCTTATGAAATACCAAACCTTTGAAACAACGCGAGAAGCAGGGGTTCAATTCCCCCTCGGTGGACACACCAGATAGCCCGCTACAGCTTTGCTATAAGAAGACGCACATAAACACGGAGTACTACATTCAAAAGGTATACGAATGTCTGACTGTTTTAATAAATATTTTTTCTTATTTAATGACATAATAATTATTTTCTGCCACAAAACAGCTCTTTTGAAAGTCTAGTGTGGTAAATTTACTGTATACGTTAGGATCTTTACGTGCGTAAAGCAGTGGTGAAAAATACTTCGAAGCGTGTATATGAAATACTGGAGTGAACAGTAAAAGTCAACAGGAATTAAAAACGTTCGCAAGAGGGGAATGGGTTAGAGCTCGTGCACACTTTTAAAAATGCCGAAATTACGTCATTTGCTATCAATAAATAGTTTACAAACGCGTTGACCAGCGCCAAGTTTCGGCAAATTTTGTGGGCTTAAACATACATTTTCTGTTTCCCAGTGCTCTCTCTATACATATTTATAATGACGTCGGATAATATCTGCTCGAACCACGAATTTTAATGTTGTATCTATATATGTGTGTATGTGAAATCGTTTGTGTGTTTTCCCCGATTTTTCAGTTTGAGGGATAAGTTGTTGTGTAACTGTACCAACAGAATCATTACAGAGTATCCCACATCTGTAATTATCAATTAGTCGTGTTAATCTTAACAACTTTTAAAGATGATACCCTGTAATTTAGTTTACCCCTAAAGAAGAAAGGTCCACCTTTCGAAAGCGCTCAGGTTATAGGGTAACGTATTTTTTAGTTAAATTGATTTCTTGAACCTAAGTGTTTTTCCTAACATCATGAACTTTTAATGATGGATATTTGTAGGTGGCGCTCTATATCACTAAGGATCCCCCTCCCCCAGTAGCACAGTGGCATGTCTGCGGACTTACAATGCTAAATATTGGATTTCGATACCCGTAGTGGACAGAGCACAGATATCTCATTGTGTAGCTTTGCGCTTAACTTCACTCAATCCAAGTCAAATTTCACTAAGGTATAACCTCATAAAAAAAAAATCGTTGAAATCCTTAATTCCAACTAGATGTTAAGTGTGTGTAACAAGTGTAAGTATACGCTTACATATTCGGCTAATTACAATTTAGTTCCACACATATCATTAAGAAAACCTGACTATTATTTTGTATAGCCTAACTGATCAAACTATTTAATGCTTCATATTAACTTGTGATCAAAAAAAGAAAGATGCCAACGTGTATCAGAACTAAAAATCAACTAACTAATTAATATATACATCTTTAATATACCGGCCTAACTAGGACTTAGCAGTGTGGCGAAAAAATATTTTTTGTTTAGAATGGCTTATCCCATCAGTTCTGTACCCTCACTCTTAGCGATATTTTCGGACGTAAACCCAATAATATCCCATGAAGTTCGACCAGCCTAAAAGTTTTAGGTAAATCCAAATACTAAACTAACAATGTAAAATAATCCACATAATAAGAAATATATCTATAATGAATGATTTTAAATAATAAAAATAACATTGCAAAAATTATTTCAACATATATATTACTTAATATAAAACATTAATAATATGAAATCATTAAACTGCTTTCAAGGATTCTTGTTCAATGTGAATGTATACATATGCTTGCACACTTATAATATATACAAGAATCAACAGATTTGACTGTGTAGACGACTGAAGCACCTCCTTCATACGTTGATAAACTGTTTACATTTACAGATATAAGTGTAAAACCTTATAAATGAAAGAGGAACGAGCTGTTTTATTGGTGTTAACTAATGAGGTGAAAGCATGGCGAAGTCTCAGACTGGCGTCGATAAACAGAACGTTTATATTTAATTTTTAGATTTCCAAAAAATATATATCTTAGTTATTATTTAAAAACACGACATTATCGTCAATAATAAACTTGTCATTGTTCATTCAAATATAATGTTAGGTATAAGCTAACCCGTTAAATATCGATGATGTTTAAGCGAATCGAGGGGCCATCTAGTGGCAATAGGCAAACACAAATTCCCATTACGACAAACTACGTAAGAAATGTACAAAACTTATCAGTCAAAAAACATGATATAAAATGAAATTAAAACGAATAGGCTAAAAAGTTGGATGATTATTAATTTAAACAAAAGGTTTAAAAATTAATCACACAAGTAA